AAACAAATATCATTGACTTTAGTTACTGCAAGTAGACATCGATGTAGGCCTACCATTGTTATTGTTCTGATTGATAAGGGAATCAATATGCCAATACAAGTGAAACATGAGTAAGATATTCAGTAAATTGATATTTAGGTTTGTACAAAACTGTATCGATCCTTAGAATTTTAAGTTCAATCATTTAAAACAAAAATTTCAAATATATGTTATAGTTGTTTTGCGTTTATTTATTTCCGAGTCAGTCATGTTAATATTTACTTTTAATTACTCAATCCACCCTTATGAAGTTACATCGTTATTAAGGAAGTCGCCATTTATCATTGAACTAAATAAATTCATAGATTATATCTGTAATATTTTATGTGATACCTCTTAATCTTAAATAATAACAGTACACTTCTGAGACATGGAATATATTATTATTAGTCCAGTAAATATGTCAAAAAATAGGGGGTTGCTGTGCAAAAGGTCGGGTAGTTCTGATTTTTTGATATGTTGTTAGTGTTGGGCCCATAACATAAAATCCAAGCTATCCTCCTCTTCTCAAGGTCAAATATGTGTACTACATTTATTGCCGATGTACGAAACTAAAACTTACAAGTAACACAGCACCAAAGGATAATTACACATCCATTTGAACAAATACTATCGTGAGGTATTTTTTTTATTTTTTATTAGAGAGTTCTTTTTTGGTCACCCGTTATAATACATATACATTTATACAGGGTGTCCATAAAAAACTTTTCAAGACTTTGGGAAATGAATCCCCATACTAAAAGGAAGAAAACTGTTTATGGGAAGGTATGTCCGAAATACATATTCACCCAGATATCCGCCATTTTGTTTTTTATACAAAAATATTTTTATCTGTAAAGTATTTATTCGATGATTATGAAATTTGGTAAACATGTTAACATACACAATACCTATAATAGAAAAAATAACAAAGTTGATCCGATTGTAAATTTCAAAATGGTGGCCGTTTAGTTTTTTCTGACTTAAATAACTAAAAAACTAATAAAATACCCCCGCCGCAGCAAACCTGCCGACTAAGCGAATTTCCATTTGTCTGAATTGATTTTCAGTTAAATATATTTTAATAACATTAGGTTTAACGAGTGCCTAGGTTTGCTGCTACAAGGAAACTAATAAAGTGTGTTTTTGAGTAAAATATTGATAGCTTAGTACAAAATAAATAAATTTGCCAAGTTTGATCAAAATATATCCATAAACAAGCAAACTACAACATTTGACTATATTCTCCATAAGAATAACATGGGAATTTTAAATTTACAATTTTTTTAATTTTCTCCGTTACTAATAATCGAACAAAAATACTTTTATATACTAAATTTGTTTTTTAAGCTCTTTAAAAAGGTCTAAAGAGAAATCGGGAAATTTTGTGTTTTGAGGGTCAAAAGTGAGAAAAACCAATTTTTACCCCATAAAACCCCCCGTAAAGCCCCGTTCCCATGGTCCGATTGTGCTGGTTCGCGAACTCATTCAAGTTTATCCCGCTTTACACCTTTAAACCAAATTTAATCAAAATCGGACAAAAATTACTCAAGTTATCGCGTTCACGGACGTATATATATATATATCTATATATATATATATATAAGTCTATATATATAATATATATATAAGTCTATATATATCTATATATATATATATATAAGTCCATACGTCTATATAGACCATATATATAACGTCTATATATATATATATATATAAGTCTATATATATATACATATATAAAAATTTGAACGAATGGTGTTTTTGGCCTCTGGGGACATCAAAATGAAAAAGTAAATCGGTCCCGGGTCTAGGTCTTACCGTGCCACCTACGGTAATAGCTACTTCCCTATAGGGAAATTCGCTAAAAGGCTAATTCTATGATAAAAGTCAAGAATACCTTTTTTAGCATTTTTAATTTCCTATAAAAAAAAATACCAAGATCAAACAGATCGGACAAAAGATAACTGAAATATAACGTTTTTTTTTTTTTGTAAAAATAAGGCAAAAATTAAGGGTTCCCCGACTGACTTTGCCTTATTCTTTTGCCTTTATTGTTTAATAGGAAATTAAAAATGCTTAAAAAAAAGTATTCTTGAAATTTTTTCATAGAATTAGCCGTTTTTGAGTTATTTAAGTTAGAAAAATTTAAACGGCCGCCATTTTGAAATTTACAATCGGATCAACTTTGTTATTTTTTCTACAGTGTTTTTGGCCCCTAGGTAGGCCTACACCAAAATGAAAAAAGTAAATCGGTCCCGGGTCTAGGTCTTAACATGAGACCTACGGTAATATTCCCTATAAGGGAAATTTGCTAATATTCCCTATAAGGGAAGTTTTCTAATAATCAGCATATCATTTATGTTGAATGGTAAGTGTTGAGGAAACCAATATAAGTTTTTCAGCAATTTCATTGTCTCGAGCAATGTGAGAATGGCGCACGTCAACATGTTGCTCACTAGCGTCTTTTTTTATAATACTTCTCAACTTCCTTACAGATTTGATGAGGACGGATCATCCCAAGCGCTCATCGAGTTAGAACATTGTCTGTTATCCCTCGTCCTCGAGTCAATACACCAGAGCTTTTCATTGTCTGTATGAGTGCCTGTTATATGGCCTGATCAGACCAAATTCCAGACCAGAAATTGTCTATACGTCTTGTAGTTAAATTTCCGTTCTTTGTAAATTTTTGGTGTTCTTCTGTATCAATCCTAATTTTCATGTCTCACTTGGTGAAGTGGCAAGTGATGTGCTGCCAGTGGAGTATGGTGTGGTCCAGGGATCAAATCTTGGCCCTGTTCTATTCCTAATTTATATTAATAATATTTCTAAAATTCAAACAAATGGAAAAGTAATCTTATTTGCTGATGATACTTTAATATTCGTAACTGGAACATCGTGGGAGGAGGTAAAAAACAAGGCAGAGTCAGATCTATTTTTACTAAAAAAATGGCTTGACCAAAATATATTATCTCTCAACATATCAAAAACTAAATTCATGCCGATTTCATTACGTAAGACTACCGAATACAAACTTCAAAACCTAAAAATTCATGTCTGTGGAAGTCATTTCAACAACTTGTGTTTTTGTAGTGAAATTGAAAAAGTTGATTCATATAAATACTTGGGTATTGTTTTCGATTCAAAGATGAAGTGGTCGGAACATGTTGAATATCTAAAAAATAAACTACGTAAATATATTTATGCATTCAGGCAACTTAGTGATGTTCTCGAAGAGCGAGAAATTAAAATCGCATACTATGCATATGTTCAGTCATTGTTATCATTTGGAATTATTGCTTTTGGTGGTGCTTACAAAACTATCTTGCAGCCTCTCTTTGTAACGCAGAAAACAATTTTAAAAGTTGCATTTAAAAAACATTTTAGATATTCAACTGACGACCTTTTTGCAGAATCAGGAGTTTTGACAGTCCGACAGTTGTTTTTGAAATTTATTTTAGTTCACATGTACAAAAACTTTGAGAATATTTTTGAAAACATTACTCATTCCCACAATACGCGCTTCTCGCAAAACGTAGGTATATTTGTTCCACAGACCTTAAACTCATTTTCACACACAAACTGCTTTCATTTAACCCAAATTATCTATCGAAAGTTGTGTGACAAATACCAGAATGCCGACATATTTAATTCTCCATCTCTTTCTTTGTTTAAGAAGCATGTAGTAGCGTGGCTTGTAGGATTGAGCTCAGAGGACACCGAGGCTGTTATCGCGTTGGGCTGACCTGACCGTTGACCCTACACTACAACACACAATCACTGATACAACGACTAACCAACACACTACCCACCACCCACCTCCATTCGACCTATTCACTTGATCACTTGATTTTTAAGAGAAATCATGATTCTTTTTAGTTCAGTAAAATATCGTAGTCCAGTTCCAAGCAAGATAAACATTTTACCCAGCAAGACGTGTTATAACAATTACACTAGATAACATTTCCCACTATACAATTTACCCGCAACTCATGTCTACGCACAGGCCCCTGCCTATGTAGACATTTTCCTTTTAATTTGATAAGGTATTTTTATTTTTTCTCTTTGTGCCATTTAGTTATACAGTATTATACTTTTGTAATTATTATATTTTTTTACGTTAAGGATTGTATGATTTATGTAAATACCACAAAATGTATTATGCCAGTTGGGAAATAAAATGTTATTTCATTTCATTATTTCATATGCTTATTATTCAGATTATAGTCTATAGTGATTAACTAAAAGATAAACTGTGTGATCTTGTGTCATGATAAGCTCTATCCGATGAAGTTTGTGGGTTATAATGGAAGCAGCTATGCAATATTAAGCTAGTGTGATGGCAAATTTACCCTCCCCAGCAACTCCATTCATTTCAGCATTTACCTACTTAGAATATTGCTTGTCTAATTAGCATACCAATACCATATACAGTACCTAACTCCACTTTTTGGCCATTTTAAGTTTTTTTATATTTTTTTCTAAATAAATATCCACCCGACAATGCAAAGCTTGTATCTCTAAAAAAATTGTATTTTATATTTTAAATTGAGCAAACCTCTTAACAACAGTGCTTTAGATTGTATTTGGCAACTCCCAGTTGCAACATCATGGTGTATACTATTTTCAGTGCTATGTTTTTCAGTGCCATGTAAAGTACTCATCTTTGTAGCCATGCCTCAAAGAACCTACTCCATGGCATGATTAATTGTTCTCTAATCAGTGAGGTACAATCACATTTCAGAAAGGTCGCTTTAAGGATTGGAAATTAAACAAGGTAATGTTAGCTTTCATGGATAGATTTTTTTTACCTTTGTATTTATCACGGTAACATTTATTTATGATAACACTGTAAAAAAAAATGGGTCTCTATAGTCTCTGTACTCAAACTTCAACAATGATACGTTAATGGTGATTTACTGGTATATGAGTGACTGTGAACTGTTATTGAATAAGGCAAAAAACATTAAATATACAAATAAAACTGTTCAATGTATATTTCAAAACAATTTACAATTTCACATTTTAAATGCACATGTAAAAATTTATGATGTCTATGATAATATATTAATTTAAACAACGTATATTTTGTATACAACTTTAAATAGCCTTCTAGTCTTATACATCAGTGATGAATGCTTTAAAACTCTATTGTCATAACCAGTATTTTACGAAAACCACTACTTACAAATAAGTCTTGATTCAAAAGTCTACTGAAATCGTTAAAACTATTAGGCATGACAACAAATGGGTTTAAATACCCTGTTAAAATTAATTCATATTAAAACTGTACAGCACATATATTAGGATCGTTTAAGTGATGTGACCATCAACTAAGGGGGTGTAAACGTACAAAAATAAAATAGACACATACACATAAGTTAGCAAAGTAACTATTGAAAAAGATTTAATTTTCATTAGCTTATAAAAGTAAAGAAAATGGCAGTATTTGACCTTGCAAAATCAAACTCAAACAATAAACTCCTATCATTATTAGTTTGTACTTGACATGTTTCACAACATAAATCCACAGCTATGATGTTACGAAGAGTTAAAATTGACAATATTAATACGTAGGAACAGTTGTGGTAAACCAACAGTTTTACTATTTGACTTATGAATTCTAGCGAATTTCCAATATTAGCACACTGCATGTTGTTTATAGGTTGGAATTTATATTTCTATATTATGACTTGTTTGGATGTGAATTCTTCTACGGAATAAAAATATGTTTGCTTAATCAATGCTTAAAACTAAAGCTTTGTACTTTAAAATTTTCTTTAAAATATGCATAGTTAGGATTAGAATTTTAATTGTGTTATCTTCCAGAGGTGGAATAATTTTAATCCAAAATGTCAAGATATTACTGTTAACATCCTATTTTGAAGTTTCTTTAGCTTCGGTCATTTTAACAATCATACTTCAGTGGAAATTCGCTGTAGGATTTGAACCTCGCTACATCATCTGCTTATTAACAAAAAATCATCATATTTTTACACAGATATGTGAGACTGAATAAACACAACACACATGAAATAAAGTACGTATATATATAACTGTTCCCTAGTGGAACACGGCTTAGACTGTACAAAAACCTAGATCTAACCATGCAACACTGAAGCATGTCCTGCTATGTACACGGTAGTTTCAGTTTAGTCTGGTGGCACGGACAACGGTGCAAACTAAAGGCCCCTCCTCTACTCGTCTCACTCCACAAAACACTTTTCAACTCTCGACGCAAATTTTTAACTGTAAACAACAATTTTACAACAGAATTATTATAAACATCTTTACATTTTCTGTCATGTGATGTTTTCTAATTTTCTACTAAAATATTTCATAAGATCAACTAAAAGCAATAAATAATTTTCACATATAACGAATACTTAAACAATATTCTTATAATAATTATACAAGTATGAATAATAAATAATAAGCTAAATTTTTATAACAAGATTTTTTTTGCCCTCAAAATATAATACAAAACTGTGTGGCTCGCCCACTCTATCAATCCAGCCTGCTACCAGTAATGTGTTTGATGTTGTATTATGGAACCATTCAACATTCAAACTATGATGATAGATGTTGAGACAAATCATTTTTGATAAATGTAAAAGAAATTATCAGTCATTTGTTTGGATTAAGAGATTTTCCACTTATTACGATCAAATAGATAGCTATTTCTTAAGAAATATTATCCAACAGATATAAAACATAATTAATTAACTATATGTAACACTTTTTGGCAATCCTGTTCACAAGTAAAGGGCTCTTGCTACACATAAATAAAAACTACACAATTGGAAGATGACGTATTCAAAAAATCAAATCAACGGGCAGTGATTCCTAACTGATTGATATTTAAACAGGTCAAGGTGTATGAATTGATTTATTTCTTGTATTGGAAGTTTAACAAAATTACAATAACCTAACAATATTTGCGTCAATGGTTTCCAAGTGGGTGGATAGTTTGTGTTTAATTTTTTGTAGAGCATATATTACAACATGGTCTAGAACATGAAACATTTAAAACTCTTTGCTGTAAATTAAATTTTATTTTTTGTTTTTTTTGTTTTTTTTTCATGGTACAAGTTTATTAAGAGGGGCAAAATGTATGACTAAATGCTCACTATCCAAAATATATTTTTTATACTCAATAAGTGTCTCTTATATCTTATAGCAATTACCGTACTCTATTACCTAGGTTTTGTTAAAACTAATAACACAACAAAAAATCGATAAAGAGAGATTTACTATTGTTGCTAGCGCTCAAAACGATAAAGATAAAAGACATATCACAGTTTAAGCATACAATCACAACTAAGCTAAACATTCATTTTTCTCGTTACTGTAAAAATAAAGAATTTGTTAGCGAGGTTAGGTTAGCAGGCTGTCATGTAGATGAGCCGACCCTACGGGAGGAGAAGGAAAAGACAAACACACAGCGACCACATCACAATAATAAATAAGCTACTGACAATGGAAATATATACAAAATAAAAGAAGAATCTATTGGTAGTGGTCCAGTGAGGCCTGATGAGAGCTGGTGGGTCGAGTTGAACATGGGGCAAGGCTACATGTGTGGAGTGGGAGGGGCCAGATAGTCAGTAGCACTTCTTGGTGCACGCGCACTTGCGCACGATCTCCACGTCTTTGGTGTATCGTGTCCCGTCGTTGCATATTAAACGCACTTTGCGCCTCTTAGTCTTGCGTGCGCGACAGCAGCTGGAGCCGCAGCTTCCTTCGCACTTGGCCATCTTGACGGGCTTGCGAGACCTGCAGCCATTCTCACTGTAGTACTCTCTGGTCTGCTCCTTGCGACATGTAGGTGCTGCAACAGGACAGAACACTAACTAGGGTGTTGAAATCTATCAATAAAATAACTAATGAATAAATGTTTGACACTGTGCAAAGTGGGTAAAAGCCATTTAGGTTACAAAGTTCAATAATCACACTGATATAATGTTTGATTCCTGAAGATAATTACGGTATACAACTGATTATTGCTCCTTCATTATATTTTATTTACATCAATTTAGATTTTGAAGGTATTCAAACCACTATTGTCTCAATCAATTCCAGAGGTAGTTTACAAACTTAAGATAAAAAAATTCAAAGTTCAAAAAGCCCTTTACAAAAATAGATTTAGAAAATTTGATAAGTATACAATGAAGTATTTAATGTTTAAAAACAAAACTTTAGTGAATTAAATGTATTAATGATTTTGTGCCATGGAAAGGTTGCTAAAATGACAATAGGATGGAGCTCAAACCAAACATGTTAGTTAGCCCTATGAGTGAACATACTACTTAAAATGTCAACTAAGTTAGCTGAAAATTAAAATTATGTTAAACAAGTTTATGTTATTTGAAGAAGTTGACAATAAAGTAACTCGTACGCACAGTTTGAATAGGCCTTTATTGTACATAATTTTTTTACAGAAATGTGAGACTTTAACAATAAGTCCCCTTTGGTTACATATTAAACTGCATTTAATGTTTGTTGTAGGCCTATAGTTTTTTTATAACCAAACTTTCAATAGTAAGAAATGGAGAATTTTATTCAGGTCAATCTCTATACATTAGCTCTTCTTAACACTTTATGCCGTGGTAATTAATTTTGGCTTTGTTTATAATTTATAATTTTAGAGTGACAGTTTAACTTTAACACACCTCATTTTGTTTACTTATATTACATTTGTTACTTAGTTTCACTCCACCACCAAAACCAGGTAACCACAATCAATATGAGTAAAGCAATGTTTGAGAACAGGGTCCAAGACCTTACATGTGTATGTTCCACAGAACAATACGCTAACACGATGCAGCATTATCTATTTACAGTGTTTAGTTTGTTAGCTGAAATGATTTAAAACTCTCCAAGTTCGGAATGTGCAAATATTTACCCTGTTCACAATATTTGCCACTCCATCCTGGCTGGCACTTGCACACGTATTCACCCGGGCTCTTGGCGACACACTTACTTCCTCTGCGGCACTGGTTGTTGCGGCAGGGGTCCTCATCCTCCTCGTCCTCATCCTCCTCTTGCTCTATCCTCCCTCCTTCCTCCTCTACCATCTGGTCCTCGTCTTGCATCAGTGAGCAGCCTGGAGTCACCTTCTGCTGCCGAGCCGCGTTGGTGAAGTCTACTTGCTTGTGGTTCACCCACAGCTCCCTCATACATCCTGCACAACAATAACACAACCATTGACAATATAACGTTGTTGTTATTGATGTAATGTGTTCATGAGTTTCAACCTGTGTGGAATCCCGGTACCAAGATATTAGTTATGTAATCTCTTTACGCTTCATTGTTATGTTCTTTTTCTAGACAATTTGGTCTTATAATGCAATCATTTTAAATGCTGATTGAATAAATAAACAAAAAACAAATAGATCTGAATTCTGAATTGTATAAGTTCCACTCTAAAAAACACACAAGCTTAAACGGATGATTTTTATAATTTATTAAAAACGAACATCACGAATATACAGAACATACGAGGCATCTAAACACCTGTTCAGTGACATCTCATCATGGATAAAACTAGAATAAAATATTTATCACATAGTTTTTAACGTTGTAGCTTGAATGTTTAGGCTGTGGTTTCCTAGACGCGTAATAGATGCGCAGCGGTTTAAATGCGCTGCGTCTTTTATCCAGGTCCCAAAACGCAGCTGCCGTGAGTGGTTTCCTAGACTGCGTACAATACACACGGTTGGTGCGTAACTTAAGTTCCACGGGAGAGTAACTAGTGGCTACTATGATGTTATACGATGATTTAGATAATGAAATGGATATTTTTGTATTAAAATCTTTGAAGAAGCGTAATCAGTAAAAAGTACATGATTAGGAACTGTACGTAGCCCTCGTGGATCTTTTAACTGTACTGTTAAAGCAAACATGTCAATTTAAAATGTAAACAATAAATCTTAATTTACCCTGTCCAACTTTGCTTTTACTGTTATTATATTTACCTATTCGGGATTTACCGAATCGATGAAAATACCTTTTACAAGTATAACTGCAATAAGCATTTTATACTTAAACGCCAACCCCGTAAGAAGTTTGGGTACATTGCTAGTAATTAATACAGTATAGGCTTATTACTAAGATGTTCAGGAGTTCTTAAAATAATTATGGGGGCTCTTATATTTAGGAGTTGGTGTTGTGCTGACTTGAAAAGAATATTTGTCAACATTAGGTTTATTTACCAATAACAACAATAAGAAATTATGTAAGGATAAATTAATTAATTGTAGGGAACATGTAACAAAGGAATTGAATATTAAAATTACACATTATGGGGAACTACATAACGAATGATATGAAATATAATACTATAACATTGTAATTGTCTGAACAAAGTACTTCCATAATATGTCATTAGAAGAGGCAAATTCAATCAATTTTCCGTCGTTGTTTACATTTACTTCCGAATTCATTGCACAAGACATGTCTAAAACGCAGCGTAACTCAGATTTGACTGCTCTGAAAGCAGTCGGCCAAATACGCAGCTATTGGTGCGCGCGTATTAGATGCGCGCGCATTAGATACGCAGCCTTGGAAACCGCTTACACGAAACTCCATAAGACAAGTGTGCTGCGTCTTAGATGCGCACACGCAGCGCATCTATTACGCGTCTAGGAAACCACAGCCTTAATATTGTAATTTAATGTTGTTGCGTTGAAGTAACAACATTCATAACACACAGTTTAGTTATAAATCAAAAGCATTGTAGCAAAAAGATTACATATTTACATGTGTACCGGTACAGACTGATTGAATAGCTCGCTGAACAATGTTGCAAGTTACAAAAGTGAATATTTTAAGAAAACGTTCTGGGCGCCCTGATACCAACACAGCCAGTTTCCCACACATTTAAGCCGGGTTTACACGATTCCAAGCCAGGAGACAACTGACTGGCTTGGAATTACTGGCTTCGTGTAAACACTTCAGGCCAATTGGCAAGCCAAATGGCCCGCCAATTGTCCCGAAATTCAGTTGTCTCCGGGAGTAGACTGAGGACAATGAGCTGGGCCCAGTGAGTCCCCCACCCCTCGAAAACCCAGTTGTGACAATTGGCGCCGTGTAAACGGTGTGGAGACCAATAGCACTGTCTTGTCTTTTGGCAGTAGTACCCTGGTTCACTGTAAAATGCCTGGGCAAGTGTTGGCCACGTGTGAACAGGTTCTCGTTCAACTTGCCTGGCCTACGACAATTCCAAAACCACGTGATGCCAATTGGCAAAGACAATTGTCTCGCCAACTGGCATCGTGTAAACCCAGCTTTAATTGCTTGCAACCCAACCAATGTAGTTTTAAGATTGAAATATCCCAATCGAAAGTAGAGAAAGCCGTTTGTATTGTTGTTCTTAAAAATCTGAGTTTCATAATATATGTTGTTCACAAACATGTTTTTCAGTAGAGATATTTAATTGACAGTTGGTAGTAATAATGTGCTTGTCTTACCATTGAAACTAGTGAGGTTGCGGAGGTGCCACTGTGAGAAGGCGTTTTGTCCCGGCTCAGGAGGGATACCCCCAATGTAGAGGGGTGAGGTAAGTCGCAGGAACTCTTGTTCTCCCTGGTTGATGATGGAGCGAGCCAGACCTCTGTCTACCCTCAGAGTAAAGTTCTTCTTGATGGCCAACAATTCAACCACGTGGTACTTCCCATCAGCCACCATCTCAAAACTGTGACATTGTAAAAAAAATTATGCTTATTTTATTACTTTTAAAATTTGGCTTCCTGACCCCACCCTACTATTTCTCCTGCCCTTTTAGTGAAAAGAACCTCATTTAAATAGGATAAATACTTTAAATAAAAGTCTAGAGGTTTCCACTAAATATTATTGTTTAATTTATCATACTTTTACAAGTAATTAACAATTAATTGTTTAGAGCAAATAAAAATGAACTACTTTGGTTGAAAAGCCTAAAAGAATGTCTCTTTGTTTATTTTTCTTTTCATAGCAACTAGGGATGGACGAGATTGGATTTTTAGTTCGAGACGAGACGAGACGAGATTTTTTATTTCTCATAAAATTTCGAGACGAGATCGAGACGAGATTTCTCTTCTCATACACAACGAGAAATGCACGTTCGAAATTTTTACTTATTTTGTAACATTGTTAGATGACTGTTTAAATACTAAAATTATGATAATAGGCAAGAATATTTACAATCTTTCATTAAATAACATCAGCATAACATTTTTTTATTAATCACGCCTAACTTATTCAAAATGCCTACGATTGAGAAACATGGTGATATCAGTTAGGATAGAGTTCAACTTATCCTAAAATAAAATAAATCATAAAATAAAAGCAATATTAATTTTTATAAAATAGTTACTTGTTTTGACTTTTTTTATAGTAATAAAACATTCCTCACCCTCCTTACACTTAACAAAACTTCTCAAATGTTATTAAAGTAATATTATTAAAATAATGAAAGTAATATTTACATTAAAAGAATTAAAGTAATATTTACATTAAAAGAATTAATTAAATAAGAACGCCTTCGAAAAGGAAACGCAACTACAACACGCTCCTGTATTGCGGGTATTGCATTGACTTTCTGCAGGCGTTTTTAATTTTTTTTTATTTTTTATTCTCGTCTCGATAAAAATCTCGGCCAAAAAGTAATCTCGTCTCGTGTAACGAGATTGAAAATTTCCCGAAAATTTCCCAAAATTTCGAGACTTGACCATCCCTAAAGCAACCAAAATTCAATAAACTATTTAAAACATCTGTCAGCTGATAAATCTGTCAGCTCACTACAGGAGCCCCCTACGAAGACTGGAAGTCCATGGAGTTTTGAAGGGTTCCGAAAAGTCACAAAAAAAATAACAAATAACAAAAAAAATAATAATAACAGCAAGGACAAAGGCAATTTCCATCAAACTAAAATTGGATTCTTGAATGTCACTTTTCTTCCAGACTTTGTCGTATATGACTTTTGAAAATCCACATCCTTTGAAGTTTGAGATACAGTTGAGGGCTTAACTTCATCATTCTGAAGGATATAGGCCGGTTTAACTCTGTCAAGACTAACTTTAACATTAGAACCATTCACTTTTATTGTGATAGTTTTACTGTCTTTCTTGATCACTGGATGAGGTCCGGTGTATGGATGTTGTAAAGATTTTCTCACAGCATCTACTCTCAGAAAAACGTGCGAACATGTGTCCAAATCACGAAAAATGAAGCTTCGGTTAATGCCGTGTCTCTTGATATTTGTTGGTTTTAATGATGAAATCTTGAGTCGTAGTCGAGACACAAAATTAGTCGGATCCTCTAAGGGTGATAGCTGGGTTGTTGGCATAAAATACTCGCCAGGGAGGCGTAAAACCTCTCCAAAAACCATTTCAGCAGACGAGGTGTTCAGATCCACACGGAAAGCATTTCTTATTCCAAGAAGCACTGTGGGTAAGGATTCGACCCACGTGGAGGCAGAGTGGCACATGATGGCCGCCTTGAGTTGTCTGTGGAAACGTTCCACCATGCCATTTGCGCACGGGTGGTAACTTGTTGTCCTTAATCTTGAAAATCCACACAATTTTCCTAACTCAGCGAAGAGTGCAGATTCAAATTGTTTACCCTGGTCTGTTGTTATTCGCAAGGGAACACCGTACCTTGATATCCAACAATTGAAAAGAGCTGACGAGACTTCTTCGGCAGAGATACCTTGCAAGGGGTGTGCTTCCGGCCATCTGGTGAACCTATCTACTACTGTAAGACAGTAACGAAGATTTCCAACTTGGGGTAATGGGCCGATGATATCCACATGAATATGTTCAAATCTACAATTTGGCAAAGGGAAATCGTTGATAGGTGTTTGAACATGACGAGTAATTTTTGAACGTTGACACTCTCGACAGGACAAGGTCCACTCTTTACAATCACGATTTATTGAAGGCCAAACATATCTTGAAGTTAACATTTTATTCATGGATTTTATCCCAGGGTGACTTAAGTTATGGATTGAATTAAACGCTTCTCTGCATAAACATTTGGGGATTATACAATCGTTCTCTACCGTTCTTTGTATCGCAGTAGACAAAAACATTAGAGCCAGGAACTGGAACTGGTTGAAGACAAAGTGAAGTACTGTTTTCGAGAATAGACTTAAGTTCCTCATCATTAGATTGAGAATCTGCCAAAGAGATGCAGATCAATTTTACTAGTCTTGTTGGCAGAAATAGATTCTATCCTAGAAAAACTGTCTGCTACTATGTTTGAAGCACCAGAAACATGTTGAATGTCAGTCGTGAACTGTGAAATAAATTAGAGATGGTTAGTTTGAACAGGAGGTAGTTTGTCCTTCTTTTGTTGAAAAACGAAAGTGATGGGCTTGTGATCAGTATAGACAGTACAGGAGTTAGCTTCTAATATATGTCTGAAATGTTTAACAGACGAATAGATGGCAAACAATTCCCTATAATAAGCGGGCCAACTGGCTTGCTTAGGTGTTAGTTTTTGGGAAAAGAAGGACAGAGGTTCCCATATTCCATCTTGATTCAATTGTTGTAGTACTGATCCTACTGCAGTATTCGATGCATCACAAAAAAGTGCTAATTTAGCATTAGCGTTGGGGTGACAAAGTAATGTAGCTTCGGCTAAATGATCCTTGCATTTACTGAATTTTTCAGTCAATACATCGGTCCAAGGGACTTTCTGATTCCCTTTTAATGACGAAAGGACAGTGTGGAGAGGGGCTTGAAATTCTGCAGCGTGAGGAATAAACCTGCGGTAAAAGTTCAACATTCCCAAAAATCGCCTAAGACCTTTGGCAGTTTGTGGCAAAGGATAATTCTGAAGGGCGTCAATGCGATCAGGCACAGGCCTGGTTCCGTCAGCGGTTACTTGATATCCCAAAAAAACTACTGAGTCAGTGTTAAATACAGATTTCTTCACATTTATAAGGACGCCATATTTGACTAACCTCTTGAACAGAATACGGAGGTGTTCTTCGTGCTCGACAGGATCTTTTGAGAAAACAAGGATATTGTCAATGTAGGGGAAACAAAAACTTAGTCCCTCTACGACTTCATCAATAAACCTTTGAAAAGTTTGACCAGCATTCCTCAACCCAAAAGACATGAACGGTAACTCAAAGAGACCGAATGGGGTCGTTATTGCAGTCTTGGGCACGTCTTCTTTATTAACCGGGATTTGGGTATATGCCTTTACAAGATCTATCACAGTGAAAACTTTACTACCGTGTAAACAATTTGAGAAATCATGGATATGTCGAACAGGGTAAGAATCTGGAATAGTGCGGGCATTCAATGCTCGGTAATCGCCACATGGTCGCCACTCATCATTCTTTTTAGGTACCATATGAAGTGTTGATGACCATGGGCTTTTGGAACGACACGCAGTTCCATTTGCTACCATGGATTCAAACTCTAATTTGGCAATTTTATATTTATCCGGAGCTAACCTTCTTGGTCTTGATGAGACTGGTGGGCCAGGAGTCGTATTTATGTAATGTACTGTGTTATGAGGAATAAATCTTGGTACTCCTAAAGGTTTTGTGATTTCTGGAAATTCCAATAACAGTGGATAGTTTGATGGGTCGGAAGTAATTAATTTAATACTAAATTGCTGAGTATTCATGAACTGACATTTACTTTTTAATTGTGTAATGTTGTCAATTAAGAAACCGTTACTACAATCAGGTAATAAAGAATAGTGAGCTAGGAAGTCAGAACCAATAATTGGAGTGCTTACTTTAGCTATTATGAAATTCCAGACTAGAGTTCTTTGTAGACCAATATTTAAGTTGAGACATAAACTACCATAAGTGGGTATTTCAGAGTTATTTGCAGCTCTGAGTTCTATCCCAGATGGTTTTAAGGGTCTTTTGACTAAATTTAGTGGTATACAACTCACGTCTGAACCTGTGTCTATCAGAAACTTATAGCCAGAATTGTTATCAATTACTTGTAACCTGTTGCTGTGGTTGCTGTCAACTCCGGGTGATTCATGAGTTTGGCGTCTAGGCACATGACAACTAGTCGACACCGCATCTAGTTGCCTAGTTCGTTTTTTGTAGAAGGGTAAGAGCAAGGAGTCACGCATTTGGTGGCACGTGATCCATAACGGTTATGATACCAGCAGTAGATGTCATTGTGGGGTGAGTTACTATGCTGTTTACTGGACTGGCTTTGACTTTGTGATCTGAACTTACTATTTTTATATGTCATCAAGTCATCTGAGAGACAGTTAACTTTCTCCTCCAGCATTGAAAGTTTCTCCAAAATTGCCTCAAAACCTCCTCCTTGATTGAGATTGTTGTGACTATGTGGGGTCTGAGAAAAGGTATTCGTTGGCTTACCTCGGTTTGACAAAATAGCGTCACAGCTTATTGCAGGTGAACTCAAAGGTTGAACCTCCTGAATCTTGTCCACTGTAACTGCCAATGATTCGGTACTGACCCCAGCGCCTAACTGGGTTTGCAGGATGCCTTGAATATGCGCAGGAAGTCGCTGCATCCAGATGATCCTCAGCAAGTCATCTTGTACGCTGCTGCCAGCTAACGATTTCAGTCTTCTGAGAAAGTGGGATGGTGTATCTGTCCCGAGTTCTTCTTCTACGAGTAACTGCTTAATCCTCTTATGTTCTGAGACTGATAATCTTCTTATCAGTTCTTCTTTCAGGCTCGTGTAAGGGTTTTCCAGATTTGGGTTTGAGAGTAAATCCTCTATTTCGGAGGCAGTCATCTCATCTAAGTGTGTCACAACGTGTGTGAAACGAAGGCTCTCATCGAAAATGTTCCATAAAGAGAAAATCGCCTCAATCTGTATGAACCAAAGTGCTGGTTTCTCACGCCAAAAATGGGGAAATTTTAATTGTGGAGATTGCATTGAAGTTGTGTTGTTAGACGGTCTTGGATTTACTGAATTGTTTCTTTCTTGAGTTTTCTGATTCATTGGATTAACCAAAAAATCTTCTTCTGAATCACCATTTTGTCTTGAATATTCAGAGTCAACTCCAATGACATCATTAAGTTGTTTTCTGAGATCTTGGTTTTGCTCTTCCATCAGTTTTAGTCTAGCCAATACTTCTTCATTGATTTCCATTATGTGTTCTTGATGTGTTCAATTCGGGGTCACCAATTTTAGTGAAAAGAACCTCATTTAAATAGGATAAATACTTTTAATAAAAGTCTAGAGGTTTCCACTAAATATTATTGTTTAATTTATCATACTTTTACAAGTAATTAACAATTAATTGTTTAGAGCAAATAAAAATGAACTACTTTGGTTGAAAAGCCTAAAAAAATGTCTCTTTGTTTATTTTTCTTTTCATAGAAACCAAAATTCAATAAACTATTTAAAACATCTGTCAGCTGATAAATCTGTCAGCTCACTACACCCTTACCACATCTACCCTCATGCGCATTCAACACTGACACTGACAGACTTTGACAAGACATCGAAAGATGTTCACGATTCAGCCATAATCTCAGATTTCAAGATTTTGAATTGACGGCAAAATATTTTCACAATTGTACGCTTCCGATGTTCGCAATGTTTTAACAGTCTGGTTTTTCATGCGCTGATATAGATTCATGTGCATTTATGTAAAAAAGTACTTTACTTGGTGTTAAGCCCTTCTACATTTTTCTTGAATCCATTTTAAAACCAAATGGCACTAAAATCAGGTTTTGTAATGTACACGAAATTCTCAGAAAATTCACACCCTACTATAGGTCGGCCGCTTAGAAAACGACCTGCGCGCTAATGCTAAACCAATGCTGGAGGAGGTCGTTTTCTAAGCGGCCGACCTATACCCTACTTATCCACTACTGTCCAGTTTCATTTTATTTGGAGTAAAGCCAACCCCATATAATATTTTTAGCCTTATTGACCACACTTGTTTTCAGCGTGAGGGTTAGAAGTACCTAACATAAACATTAGGGATGGACGGGTCCCGAAATTTCGGGAATTTTTCGGGAAAAAAATATTCCCGATTATCGGGACGGGATTACATTTGTCTCGGGAATTTTTCGGGACGGGATTTGGTCCGATCGTCGGCGATTTTTCCGCTTCGCGAGTGCCGATAACGCCGTTATTGCGAGCGATAGGTCCGCGAACGCAGGAGACGAAGTCATTTCGACGATTACGCCGTGACCGCGGAGTCCTACCGACGACCGCGCCGTGACCGCGAGTCATACCGACGATCGCGCCGTGACCGCGAGTCATACCGACGATCGCGCCGTGACCGCGGAGTCCTACCGACGATCGCGCCGTGACCGCGAGTCATACCGACGATCGCGCCGTGACCGCGAGTCATACCGACGATCGCGCCGTGACCGCGGAGTCCTACCGACGATCGCGCCGTGACCGCGAGTCATACCGACAATCGCGCCGTGACCACGGAGTCCTACCGACGATCGCGCCGTGACCGCGGAGTCCTACCGACGATCGCGCCGTGACCACGAGTCATACCGACGATCGCGTCGTGACCGCGAGTCATGACGACGATCGCGCCGTGACCGTGGAGTCATACCGACGATAACCCCGTGACAGCGAGTCATGCTGACGATCGCGCCGTGACCGCGAGTCATACCGACGATCGCGTCGTGACCGCGAGTCATGACGACGATCGCGCCGTGACCGTGGAGTCATACCGACGATAACCCCGTGACCGCGAAGTCATACCGACGATCGCGCCGTGACCGCGAGTCATGACGACGATCGCGCCATGACCGTGAGTCATACAGACAATCACCCCGTGACCACGAGTCATACCGACGATCGCGTCGTGACCGCGAGTCATGACGACGATCGCGCCGTGACCGTGGAGTCATACCGACGATAACCCCGTGACAGCGAGTCATGCTGACGATCGCGCAGTGACCGCGAGTCATACCGACGATCGCGTCGTGACCGCGAGTCATGACGATGATCGCGCCGTGACCGTGGAGTCATACCGACGATAACCCCGTGACCGCGAGTCATGATGACGATCGCGCCGTGACCGTGGAGTCATACCGACGATAACCCCGTGACCGCGAAGTCATACCGACGATCGCGCCGTGACCGCGAGTCATGACGACGATCGCGCCATGACCGTGAGTCATACAGACAATCACCCCGTGACCGCAAGTCATACCGACGATCGTGTCGTGACCGCGAGTCATGATGACGATCGCGCCGTGACCGTGGAGTCATACCGACGATAACCCCGTGACCGCGAAGTCATACCGACGATCGCGCCGTGACCGCGAGTCATGACGACGATCGCGCCATGACCGTGAGTCATACAGACAATCACCTCGTGACCCGCGAGTCACAAGTTTCTATATGTACCTGTAAATTGTTACCCATTTTTTGGTTTTTATAGATCAGTGCCACAAATGGTAAAAATTGATTTCGTATGTCTTTTTTGGTAACTGCAATACAGTACTTTCTTTTTATGCACAGAAAAAAATCCCGTCCCGTCCCGTCCCGAAAATCGGGAAGGAAATAAAAATCCCGTCCCGTCCCGTCCCGAACTAAAAATTCAATCCCGTCCATCCCTAATAAACATCTTGCTAATTTATAATGTTTTAAAACTACTTTCTACACAGCAACAAAACAACATTTTTGTTTATAAAGTAACCTGTAAAACTAATGAAGAGGGCAAATTTGTCACACTTACCTGTACATTGTAGAGACAGGGTAATTTCCTACGTCGTAGCTGACTCGGATACGGCCATTAAACAGTTCTACAGCAAGATGTTCGTTTTGGCCATCGTACATGATCACTCCATTGTCCTGAGTTGTAGAGAAGATGACAGTTACATTGGCCTCAGGCTTGGTCCTCAGGGGCTCCAGCTCTACAAAGCTGGTGTTGTGTACAAAACTGAGGCTTGTCAAGTACTCACAACGTTTACCTGAAAATCAAACAATTTATAAAAAATAAGCTATTATTTTATTTTAAAACTTGAAAATTGATACTGGTAAAAATCCCTTATTATAATATATGTTAAGTATAAAACCAACATCAGAGTGAGCCTCAAATCAGCTGTTAGGAGGTAGACCTAAGATAGTTGATTAATTTTAATGACAAGCCCACAGAGGTATAAATTCAGTACATTAGCAAATTAATGGTTGCTTTCCTAAATAGCACACAGCCTAAGTCAGCATTGGCATTTATTATTTGTAAGCATAGAAGAGATCAACATATTCCACTAACCTTACAAAGTGAGGGAACAGGGAGAAACGGCTTAATGTAGCTGGTGAAAATTTGTCTTAATCACTTTTTTAATCAAGAGAAATATGAAAGAACTGGTTATCATCATATGATAATACTTTTAGGTTTAAAAAATAATTCTTTTAAAACTATAAATACGAATTATTTTGTCAAAAATGTAACACTGACCTGTGTAGCCAGGGGCACATTTGCAGATGTAGTCGTTAGAGCCCATGGGTTGGAAGCATATCCCATTCTTGCAGTCATGGTGTTGACAAGGGGAGGTTTGTGGGTATAGCATCGCTACCATTGGAGGTATCTCACAGAACTTGCCAGTGAAATCTCCTGTACACTTGCAGCTGTAGTCATTGACACCATCCACACAAGATGCACCATTCTACAAGGATAGAGAAAATTACTATCAAGCTTTGAAAATCTTATACAAATCTGCCACCTGCTCCTTGAGCCAGACTACAACCACTTTTTTCAGTTCTTCATCATCACAGAACTACTGACATCCCAGCTCACATGAAAAAATTAGATGGTATAGTTGCTGGAAGCTGAATCTAGGCTGACAGCAGATGATGAAATATGCCCCAACTGACATTTCCCAGGAGATTATTTATTATTTATCTGAGCAGTGTGAGGTTTGTCCTTGTCAAGCAAAACTTCGACACCAGAGGTCATGCGCTTGGGGGTTAGTTTTGCTGATGATCAATACTAAAAAATGCATTCAGTAATGTGCTATTGTGCTATATTTCTCGTTAAACTTGGTGTGTAAAAAATAAATTCCCAATAAATAGTTGTGGCCGATTTATGATTTTTAATACTCTTGAGCTCACAACTTTTATTTAACAAGATTTCTATCATGTATCACATTTTAGACACTCTTGAAACAAATTAAGCCATCCCTTAATTTTCACACTATGGCTTGATAGTGATTGACCTGTCGCACAGATTTTACTAAAGTTAAGTGTGTTGCAAGCCTAGTGGTTAGCGTCTTGGACTTTTGGTGCGAGAGGGACGGGTTTGATTAACAGTTCATCCACAAAACTGTTAATGGGTTTGGACCACTTTCCCTTAAAAGTTTTTGTTTACTTCATAAACAAATTCTACGGGTGTTGAGGCAACCAAAATCTACAATCCCCCACTCTCGCAGAGTGACCAAATGGAAGTTAGTTTCTAAATGACTCTCATATATGATAATGGTATTAGTTAACTAATACCGGTATTGGTTTTAGGACAGATAATTATTTATTTTTTTAAATGTGGAATGTTAAATTACCTGACAGAGATGGTTCTGGCAGTCGTCAATGTCCACTGTGCAGTTCTCCCCTGTGAACCCTGGCTTACACTCACAGGTGTAGTGGGTGAAGTGGTTCACACATGTTGCTCCATTCTTGCAAGGGTTGAACTCCTTTGTACAGAAGGGGATCTTCTTTTCACAGTATTCACCTTAACAACACAACTTTTGTTGCAAAATATTCAAGAAAAAGTGCTCGGTAGTTCTTAATTAATGATAACATTTTATAACCAATTTAATACAAACAGTGTACTACAATAGGTGCAAAATACAACATACCCATGATAATAAATATATATGTGTATGCGTGAACGCGATAACTCGAGTAATTTTGGTTCCATTTTTATAAAATTTGGCTTGAAGGTGTGCGGAATAAACTTAGATGAATTTGCGAACCAGCAAGATCGGGTCATGCAAACAGGATACTAAAGGGTTTATTTTGAAATTTTCAAAAATTGTTTTTTTTACCCTTAACATCTGGAAATGCTTGAGGTCATCAGACCATCTTGTAGAGCTTGAAAAAATAATAATCATGTACTGTAGAGTCCCGCAAACTCGGCGTAATGTGGACTGGAAGGGTGCCGAGTTTGTGAAATGCTGGGTTATCGGGAACTAGAGTTAAAAATAAGAACAATACAATTTTTAAGCTTTTTAACTGCCTTTTTTAATTAGATTTATATTATAAGTCATCGGATATAGTACGACAAATCCTTAGTACGAGTTACAAATGATTATACTAGAGCTGACTAGTGTCCATGTTTAACTCGGACTAAAAACATCACTAATTTTCTGAGCCAGGTGATGGCCGAGTTATCCAGACTGCCGGGTTATCGAGTGCCGAGTTTGCGGGACTCTACTGTACTGTATATTGAAGTGTTTTTGTACAATTAAAGGCTACGGAGCAAATTCAAAAAGACTATACATTAAAAACTTAAAAAGTCTTATGCTATTATTATGGAGGAAAAGATAACTGTTATATGTAGTTTGCTTGTTTATGAGTATATTGTGTTAATCAAAATTGGTATATTTATTTATTATTAATTTATTTCATCCTGTACTATTACCATTTGGTTAAAATAACACAGTTAATCTTAAGAACTAATATTTAAATAGGGAATAAATGTGTCTTCTTTATGGAAATATTTTTGTTAAAATCCGATCAGACAAATGAAAATTTGCTTAGTCTGCAGGTTTGCTGCGACGAGGGTATTTATTACGCTGCTATCTTAAGGCGTGTGGGAAACTCTGGTGGTTCAATTTTGGTGGCTGTCATATCGCTGGGGACTCGACCAGGATCCAGGATGTGGCCAAAACACAAGTGATACTCACAAGTATTGAACCAACTGTGGGAATTTATCAAGGTGTTTTCAAACAACTGTCAGAGACGAGCTCACATAGTTTCTGACACCATAAGAGATGTCAGACAATGTGATGCAATTGTGGGATATATTCACCATTGTACAGGTCAAGTGATGGTTCCATCAGGTCAAAGAAACCACTATTGTACGGTATTTCCAGTTGTTCTCTTGCTTGGTATGTTTATTTGCATTCATAGTTTAAAATTCAATTGCGCACTGTGTAGGTAATGTTATAGTTTGCTGAGGACTTCTAAAGACGTTTACTCCAGCGTCAAACACCATTCAGTTCTACACTTTACTAGCTGGACATTTATGTGAAAGTGTAATGTTAGCATTAACCAGCACAATAGCTTCAAAACTAAATCAGAATCTATGTAACTAATAGATGGTTGGTTCTCTAAAACACTACTTACCCATATATCCAGGTAAGCACCTGCACTCGTATGCCAGCACCAGGTCAATGCAGGTCGCATTGTTCTCACACTTGTTGGTCAGACAGTCATCAATATTGCTCTCACAACGTATCCCGGTGTAGCCCGGAGCACAGTGACAGCTGCAACACATAGTTCGAAACTATACAAATTTTTTATAAATTTAATACAACCAACTACTGAAGATAAAAACCTTTCAACGTTGTTTTTATGAACCTAGAACTCCACAGCATTACACGGATTTGTAGTGCAGTCGCTAACTCACTAGCATTAACGTAATTCATTGAATCTCAGCTGCTCAAGCTAGATTCACAATCATCTCGTCCGGCCAACAGTGACACGGTGGATGAATTGCCTTAAACATTGCACTGGTGAGTGCAGGTGTGAAGTCATTCTAAATGCCCTCGATTAAGCATATAGGGCTTACTAATGTGTGGAGAGCCGATATCTAATCCTTCACCAAACTGTAAGGCGTGAACCCCATGATTTATTCTGCCTTTAACCTTTACAGATCTCTAGAATTTCAATACCCTAACATGAAGAACGCATGTTTCTTTTCACAAGCTATGCATTTTTTGTCATTCTCAGCATTTTAAGAAGACGTAAGAATGATCATTAGTGTCAAAGAGAACTACTCTTTTCTTGCACACCTGTGCAAGCTAAATTAACCTGAGATGTAGGCCATTTGAATGATTTTACCCTGTGTCATCGAAGGATCATTATTTCAATTCATCTAAGCTTGATATATGATATTTTCAACAGAGGACATAAAATAGTACTGCAACACATTATTCTTATAAAGTTAAGCAGGAACCTACCTAAATCTCCCTTCCTCCAGCAACTTGCATGTTCCAGAGTTACGACAGGGATTTCCGTAGCATGCATCTATCATGTACTGGCAGTGGTTGCCGTGGTAGCCAGGGGAGCAACGACAGTTGTACTGACGCTCAGGTAGCGGCTCGCACACTCCCTCGTTGGAGCAAGGGTTGGTGTAGCAGGCGTTACATTTGGCCAGTATGTCGCTGCTCACACGGCCTGTCCACAAAAACATTCAATTATTTGTACACTCAAGGAAGCATGCCATTGCAAACACAACTTACATTGTATGATTTGTTGAAAAAAACTTTAGAGAACGAGGAAGCATAGTAGACTTCTAACCAACACATGTAGACTTCTCATCACATAATAAAATCTAAAGCAATTTTTCTTAACTAAAAATAGGCTTTACCTTTGTCAACCTATTTTTCACCTCACCTATTTTTCATGTCTAGTTTATGTTGGTAACTCGCTAGTGTCGACAGTATTTTTGTTTCTGTTTTAGAGTGTTGATGATGAATTGTGCTTTATTTTTAGGTTATATAACCAGGGGATGAGCTATTTTTTTTGTAATTAGAACGTTTTATTTGGTCAAACAAGGTTTTTAAATAATTAAAACAGTAAAAAACTAAATGTAAACAAAAACAAGCATAAAACATGTACATCCACACTGGGCCTAACATCCTAACATTAAGATTGCCTTTAAGCTGATCCATAAGGACAAAAAATCTAGGAGGGATAAAGTTATACTTTGTTCGCAATATTTAGGCGGTTTGAAGGGAAGGTCCCCCTCCACTTTTTTGTATTTAATGTATGTTGCTTGATCAGTTGTTGAGCTATTATTTTAAAAGCCAGGGTCAAGTGGAGGGGATAGATTTCTTACCCTAACACCACCTTAATATTGTGAACAAAGTATAGTCGATGGAAGACTAATATTTTAAGCTGGAGATATGAAATAAAAAAAAGGCAATGATGGAGAAATACAATTGTAGAGACAATCAAACTTTAACTATCCAAATATCACAAAGGAATTTGAGTGTACAACAAAGTAAGACGAGAGTTCCCAACATGAAAAACAAAAACAAAATTTATTTCTTTACCCCCCTTCCTTGATCACAGGCAATTCCATTTTGTTATGTTAAAAGATGGGAGATTGATGTATTTGCATAGTGGTTGTAGATGTTGCATACTGAAGTTTAAGGGTTCATGCATTGTCTCACCCTTGCATTGGAAGGCAACCGCTGGAGTAGTGAGTAACAGCTTGTCTTTCATACTGGGTGGCTCCACACATCTAGCAATGCCTGGCTCTACGTAGTCTCTCTTGACCCACTCTGCCAGCCACCGCAGACTACAGTCACAGTACAGAGGGTTGGAACCCAGCGCCCTGCGTACAGAGAATTCATCACTAGTAGCTTTCAGTCATCCAATTGTAATCCAAAAACAGTTGAAAACCAAATGTTGATGAGAAATCAACAATAATCATTTTTGATTATAATATAATTTTTACTGCCTTCATAAATGTGTTGACACTTTATTGCATATTGTATATACAGAATAAAGAAGTAATATACCTATTTATGAGAGTTCTCGTTTATATACAAATACAAGTAGCTGTGAGGGCTGCCCATTTTTCAAGATCACACTCAAACTCCCATTAGGGTTAAGCAAGCCAGTCAAAATCTGAGAACCAAAAGCTGTTTTTCATTGCATACACAAGATTTCTAACCGGTTTCATCCCGTGTGAAATGATTAGTCTTGTCATAGTTCCTGAAAACGATTTGAAGGAAAATTGAAGCTAACACCAAGTATTACTCATTTTCTGTGATTAGATTTCTGTGGTTTTAGGTGTCATTAGTTTTAGATTTTAGATTAGATCATCAGTTTTAGGTGTCGTCTACTATTAAGTCTAGGTTCTGAGGTATTCGTGAACATTTGCACTATATTTTGCATGGTGTATGCTGCCTACAGTGGTTCATCAGTAGGCCTAAGTTAGGGGGAGAACAAGAGCCTGCCAAACTAGTTGGGACGTCTCAAATGGATTATTAGGGACACTATGGTATACATGGTAAACTCAGGCTGGGTTTAACACTTTGATCAGCAATAGACGTATCCCTATTTTGCTATTTTTAATCACTGTCTGGATGGAAACTGATGAACATCTTGACATTCCCAATCCTAATTATTTTCTTAACTAAAAACTTTGCTGCATACAAATATGTCAACTGCCAACTGATTTCAATAGTGTTTGATCCCTTCTCACAGAAACGTTATCATAGATCTCATTATAAAACTAGAATACTTGACAGGAGCTTCAACCACTATCTTATATTATAATATTCAAAGGACCAAAATACTTACAAATGTGAAATAGCATGTAGATCTGAAAATGTTCCATCAGGCACCATTGAAATGTCGTTCCCATGCAGAGATCTGTAACAGTAACATTATTTAGTAACATTTATTTGGTTGTTCAAAGGTTTATTGCGGACATTTTCCATCACGAATGTAAAAAACAATACACAACGTCTCGCTAACGGTGCTATTAGTGTTCCACTGTGTGAGTTTTTTACGTTAAACGTTTTATAGATTATAGTGTTTTGTGATTTGTTATTATTTGCATGTTGTATCATGACTTGACTGCTATACAGTGCATATTTTTTTACTACTACCCTCTGTAGTGTATTCCAACTTAGGTTGGGCGTTTGTATATTGTTAGTTGTAATGTGTTAGTTAAGTTTTTTTCACCTGAGGACAGGATCAGATACCAGATCCCGAAACGTTGTGTATTGTTTTTTACATTCGTGATGGAAAATGTCCGCAATAAACCTTTGAACAACATTAACTCACCATCACCAACAATGAACTTCAAACAAAGAATTTATTTGGTGTTTGAACTATCAACAATAATCTATACTATTATTAAAGAAGAGGTGGTGTCTGTCTGTGAGTCTGTGTGTCTGTGTGTTTGTATGAGATAAACTCAAAAACTACTGAACCGATTGGGCTCAAATTGGACAAAAATAAAGCTACCGCTCCGAGAATTCATATAGAACTACTCCCCCTTCGATATTGAACTAGGACTCTGCCCCGCGGGCTTTCAAAATTCTGAGGTGAGACATTTAAAAGTAAATAATGATTGGTCTCCATGGTAACAAAGTACAATCTCACAAAGTTTAAATATAAACAAACAGACTGTCAAATGAATAAATTTATATTTCACATTTCCATACAGCTGGTTCAAACATATTAAATACTGCACAAATATTAGAAAGGGTATGAGTCATAAACGTAAAAAATGATGTCACTCACCGGAATGTAAACATTATCTAACATTACTTAAATGGAACTGTCAAACCATGTTAATGACGTATTGGATTCTTTCAGTTACGTAATTTGTTTATGTTTATAATCTATCTTGAGTCTGTTCTAATATTTGTGAAATGCTGTAATAAGATTTTACAGGGTATATGTCATTGTAAAAGAAATTATTCTTGGATATAGGATATAATTAAGACTCTATAATCATTAATTATAAATCTATAATCATCTATAACCAATCTATAATCATTGCCATATCAACCTAGGATCTTGTGATCTTATCCTGTTTTATGAGTTTTTAAGACATATTTCAGTGTAAACAGTAATATAAAACCCCTGATGCAGCTAACCTGCAGACTATTCAAATTTCCATTTGCCTGATTATAATTTCACTAAAATATGTTAGAAAATTACATTATTGCCAGGTGTGGAACTATTGTTATAGCTTTTTGTTTACAGTACAAACCATTCAACATTTTATTTGATTATTCCTTAAAATCTATCATAGATTCTGTATCCTATGTATCCTAAATAAGTGTTCACAGTCTGAGTTCAGTAATACTGTTGAATTCCGTTTCTAAATTAAATGGTAGGATTGAAACCATTTTTAAGGCATTTTCAAAGAACCAACATTGCCTCTTTTGCATACTGACCCCGTTGCAAGGCACGGGTATGGCTGTTAGTAATATAGAAATAAATGTAGTGTGCTAGTTGAAGTGCAACTTTTTCAAAATGTCTTACTGTTAGTCTCAATTTATTTATTAAAAAAATCATAACACAAATGTCAATAGGGAGTGTTTTAAGACATGTTAACAGTGAGTTTTAAGACATATTTTGAAAAAATTGACATACCCTACTATTATTTTGTTTTAAACCTACAGTATCATAAGTAAACAAAACTAATCAGCAAAGTATCATACAATATATTTTTAGTGAAGAAGTTTTCAATTTTAACTCAGCTTAAGATTATGAAAGGGAATCAGGAGTGGTGATCTGCTTTACCCCTGTACACTAGCTTGATCAGTGCTGCAGCCTAGCTGAGATGAGGCAAACCTCAGCACTACCACAAGAGTCTAAACCTGCAGTATATTGTTGCCCTTTCACAACACTTAATATAAAAATAACTTGCAATCAATATTTTTTTTCAAACTGGCCAACATAATTTTAATTTAAATTAAAAAGAGGGGAAGCTACAATATTGCTTTGCTTTAATACTTACAAAATCTTAAGCATTTTCAACCCAGCTAATGCATCTCTCTCTATGCATTGCAGTTTGTTGTAGCTGATTATTCTGTAAAAAAAAGACACTTAATATTTAGTTATAATAGCTTATTCAAAACATTAAACTCCCACACACAGTCCACATCTAATCAAACATTCAGAAAATCTCATTGCTCTCCACTAGTCTCCAGCACCATGATGCTCTCCAGAGGTTCTACCAAGATCAGAAACATTTATTTTTTAATTTTAATGATCCAAAAGCATGTAAGACATGAACCAATCCAAATCTTACAAATCTTAAACCAATCACTACATTTTACTCACAAAGTTTCCAGCTTGCTGAGGTTGACAAATGTGAAGTTTGACAGGATGTTTATTTGGTTGTTGCTGAGATCTCTGAAAAATACAATATAGTTCTGTTAGATTATTATTGTTCAATAATTAACTATCACTTATTAAAACAATTAATTACACTGATATTTTAGAATTACGGAAGGAAGAATTTGGTACCGGTATCAATATATTTTAAAACATAAATAATTGTTAACCATTGATCCTTTTAAAATATTTATGGTTTTATATTATTACACCAAACAAAACAATGTTACTGCTAGAAACATGTTACTGTAAAGTCAATTACATTAAGTATACTTTATAGCTTGGAACTATTGAATAATAAGTCAAACTACCGACATTAGGTTTATCCTGTGTAAGGTATACAAATTGCATTTTTATTTTGAAAATAGTATAGATTTATCCTTCAAAGATTTTTAAGAAACAAACATAATTATTTCTTCAAACTGTGTTTAAACACATAGTACCTGAGTTTATACTTCACACTTATTTATACAGTATAAACAACATTTAATGTTGTTCTTCACAATTTTGTACAAACACATTGTAATTTTTGTTGTAGGCTTAAGTAAGCATATAAATAACAAGGCACTCACAATCTCACGAGGGACTTCAGGTGACTGATTCTGTCTTGACGAATGCTTTGGATTTCATTCACATCTAGGTACCTAGAAGAAAACCATATAACTTAATTTATAAATTTCACTCTTTAGACCCTACATTTCAGTTGCATGAAGATTTGAAACAATCTTCAGCAAGAGTTGAAAGTCTTTCTTTAGTGAAAGTAATACCTCTAGTCTGCTTGGTTAGTGACAACATCTTCATGACGAGTAGCCAAGTCAAGATTTTCTTACAAAGATGAGTATAGCCATGTTTGCATATTTGACAAACGATATTTTATTAATTGCTTGCACAATATTAAGATATATTAAATGAAAAAAATCTTAATTGAAACTGGTAAAACGGTATATAAATTAAATCATTTATATAGATTAGGTACTATGAGGCCTACTCACAGTTCAGATGTCTCCGCGGGGATGCCTCGGGGTATCTCTGTGAGCTTGGCACGGCTACACCTGACTATGGTGCCAGTACAGGAACACTTGGGCGGACAGTAGTTATCTCCCAGGCAGCCCTGGTCGTTCTCACCTGACACAAGAGTACCACAATCAGATGAGTTGTAAATATAATTATTAATATCATCAAATACCATAAAACCATCCATAAAATAGTTACTAGCTTATTCAAGAGAAACTTGTTGGCCTTCTGTTCAGTAGGTGTTTTTTTTTTATGTAAGTTTGATGCACTTACAGTTTGAACTTCATTTTCAAAACAGTTAAAATATTTTATTTTTATTTTTCCAGGATCAAACTGGCAGAAACCTGTGTTTTGTCCTGATTACACAGCAAGCCATTAAGCCCTTGACTCAGCTCAAGGCCCCACTAGAAAAACAGGCCATGCTGCAGGACGGGCAGCGCAACACTACATCACAGTGGTGGATAGTTGTACTAAACTCTTACCATTAAAATCTTACAAACAGCCAGCTTGTTTATTTACCTAAAACATATGAGAATGACAACGGCAATGAATTTATCAATGGAATCTATCCACTAATGTGACGTCATGGATCCTGCAGCATGGCCTGTTTTTTCTTGTGGGGCCTTGCTCAGCTACCAGTACCCAGCTGTTATTTTCCAAGATTCTAATATTTTGGCAATTAATGTAAACAATGCCTCTAATGAGGTAAAACAAGTGATGAGACTCACTCAGACACTTGAACTCGTGAGCTGGCAGCTCATGTATAGCTACATCCTTGACTCGTACAGGCCCAGCACACCTCGGACTACCAGCCACTAACTCTCTCTTGCGTACCCACTCAGCAAACCACGCCAGGTGACAGTTGCAGATGAATGGGTTCGACACCAGATTCCTGTCAAGTATGAAACAATGTTAATTGAAAGCCCCATTTTTTTTCTTTACACCAAAATAATATAATTTTAGGTAAAATGCTACAACCACTGGTTTTGAAGTGGCTCCTAAGACATAATAAAAGTGTTGATCTAGTGAAATTAGTAGCAGTGATTGATTATCAAGTATGGTATTTATACAATGCAATTTTAATTTGTTAAATATTTGATCTAGCTTTTCATACTCCATCACTATACTTAACCAACCAAACTAATCTTTTGTTTTCCGATTAAATAAATTACAATCTTGGCTTTGAACCATAGGCATTGTAGTTGTGGATGCTATGCTATGGAAGGTCCACCATAAGCCTAGCTTTTATTGGCAGGGCCTTATTTCCCTAACAGCGGACATGGCGGTTGCCGGGGGACTCGGCCTAGGAGGGGGCCTCAAATTAATTTCTTGATAAATTTACTTCACCGACAATCTCTTTCACCGCGATCGCATTGATGAAATCTGCGCGACCACAAAAAACCTTTACTATTTTGCCGTTAAAGTATAAATTGCCACTATTCATCCGCAACCGTGGAAGATTTCCAGTATTTTATCGGCATTGCGCAAGTCGAAGATCATGTCCCAGAGCTCGGAAGATCTTCAAGATTTTGTCATGATTGAAGGAGACGAAGATTATGTCTCCACGTTCACGCAAGAGGTTAACTATTCCTCCGCAGCCACATGAGGCGTTCATGATTCCGCCACAATTGGAGGAGACGAAGATGATGTTTCCGCGCTCGCGCAAGATGTTAATTGTTTCTCTGGGGCCATAGGAGACGTTCATGATTTCACCATGATTGGAGGAGATGAAGATAATGTCTCGGCGATCGCGCAAGATGTTCACTATTCCTCCGCGGTCACATAAAACGGAAGAAGAGCGGAAGAAGCAGATTTTTCTGCGGTTCATGATTTTATGGCGATCACAGCAGACGAAGATCATATCTCCACAATAGAGCATGATGTTTACTATTTTGCCGTGAATGTAGAAGATTTTCACGATCCCTCCGCGACCGTGGCAGATGTCCACGATTTTACTGTGACCACAGAAGACCCTTACAATTTGGGTGCGATTACAGATTATTAACCAATTCTTCATATAATCAGAATATAGAGGGGCCTCTCTGGTGAGAGCCCCCAGGGGCCTCATCGATTCTAAATACGGCCCTGTTTATTGGCAGCAAGATTCCTGTGTGAATCATGCAAACACACATTATAATAGTAGTTGCACTCACAATGTATGGAGGTTTGCGAGGTAATCAAAAGAACCAGGCATGACACAGGTGATTTCATTTCCATAGAGAGACCTGGAAACAATATATTCAGATTTGAAAATTTCAGACACAAATGTTTATGTTAGAAGAATCTTGTTGTAGTTATATAATGTGAAAGAGAAGATGAGTATTAATTGACTAATGTAATTTTTTTATTTTAGCTTTTCTTCAAAATATATGAGAGGTATATTTTATCTGCAGGTAAAACTTAGTCATCCTATTTTCTGACATTTACATGGTCCTTTGAAAAGCTAAATATTATATCATTTATACAACCCTAGCTTACACCATGACTTTACCACACGGTGCCAGTGTTTGCCTCGGAGTCTGGAATTCTTAGCCATCAAACAACATGTATTATGTTAGCCAAATCTATATAGAACTTCGACATAGAGTTATTATACAAGATTTTGTCCACAATTAACTCAATCGTGTAAATTAGTTTTGTGTGTATTAAAAGTAGGTTGTTTTTAATATTCATACTTACAATGATTTCAAATTGTGGAGCCCAGTAAACATCTTGTTGTGAACTTCTCTGATCTTGTTTTCAGCTAACAGACTGAAACATGATGCTTTGCTCGAGTAATTTGTTATTTCCAAAAATACTTACAATATTGTTCACAATATAAAAAACTGATCAGAAAATTAAAATGGAATTGCAAAAAGTAAATGTATACAACCTATGTTATGAAGAGTTTTGTTCTAACAATTTTAATCACTATTTGTAGTGAAAAAATAAACAAATTTGAAAAGTTTGTATGAATATTGATAATTTTTTCTGTTTAGACCTGACTACAATATTTGTTATGAAATTAAAAGTATGACTTATATTTATGTTAAGGTTATAACAGTGCTAATCGTAAGAATATTACTATAGCTCATAGAATAGTTACTTAGTGGTTGATATTTTAATTACTCACAGTTCAGAAAGCCTTGCACAGCCTTCAAATGAATTCTGCTCAATTCCAGTGATTTGATTGCGACGTAAATCCAACTTGACCAAGTTTGGCAATCGTCCAAATAATCCATCAGACTTGATACGACCAATCTCATTGTCATTCAACAATCTACACAGAAAATAGAACAAACATTTATAATTGAATGTTCAACATATAGATGATTGATAAAAGTAGATGTAGAGTACTTTCAAAAGTAATGGAAGTAACAAATTAACGTTCTTAGTTCAAAACCACTTAGGTATATTATTTGAAATATTTAATTAAGTTAACATTTAAATAGCTGAAAAAGTATGGTTTTAGTCATATATGTTTTATCATATAAAAATTTAAACATGGAAAGAAAAAACACGGGTCGCCGGAATTGTACCCGCCTAGAATTGTACCCCCCCCCCGGCGAATCGTTGACATCACTTCTAGGGGGGGGGGGTACAATTCTACCCCGTACACTTTGATTTGAACTAAATCTAATCTATTTAATGTGGGCAAGTGATCAGTGAACCGGATAGTTATATTAGATATTAAAAAGAGCAAGAGATGTACCGGTACGGCCCGGAATTGTACCCTTCCCCCCGGAATTTTACCCCCTGCCAACATCAAAATATTTACGTACAGGGTGGAATTGTACCCCCCTGGAATTGTACCCCCAATCAGAAAGCTAAATGTGTACGGGGTGGAATTGTACCCCGCGGAATTGTACCCCCCTCTCGGACAGCTAGCTTGGCTTGTATACGGGCTGGAATTGTACCCCCCACCCACTCGATAAACTTAATTGGTATTATAAAAATGAAGTAGTAGGGAATGAAACATTAAAAGATAATTAAATAGGCAACTCTATAAACCAAATTATGTTTTTTTTAATAATATTTACAAACTTTTACTGATTTAACAATCCGCCTATTTTACATTTTTCTTTATCACAGTACCCTCTAATTTTCCCCTCTTAATCATGCATTTAGTATGTTACAGCACATAAGTGCAGCTACCGTGGTCAGAAATTGAGCTTGAGGATGTATATTTGTAGCGTAATATTCGCCAATGTTTTTCCGCCAAAGGACGGATGTTAAGCAAAATGAGTCGTTGTAAATAATACTTAATTTCTGGAATTATAGGTCAATAAGCAATTTAGTCATAGACTGTATATGTTTTTTTACTGTAAATTACATAATTAAATAACAAATTATGAACAGCTATTACTGGCAAAGGTGGACAAAATACTTGTTGTAAAATTTAGTTGCAATCTGGTACAAAGTATTTCACTATTGTGAAAGTTTTAACCTTTGTGAATTTAAGCTAACCCATGAACAGTTAGTAGGTACTTGGGAAGGTTAAGAAAATATAAATGAATAACGTACAAAGAAGTCTGTTAGGCCTCTCGCACGTTACTCAGAATTTCCTTAATTTGCAATTTCTTGGAATATCCTTTCACAACAAGCAATTCATTAGGTGTCGGGTAACTTGGTTCAGTTCACTTTCGTGCAATTCCCCTCTAATATCCAACATTACTATTGTTTTGATTTTACTTGGTAATCACAATAGACAAGCTCCTGGGTGAAATGGAGGGAGGGGGTACAATTCCAGGGGGTACAATTCCGGGCCGTTTTTTAGCTTAAAAAAACAAATAATTTAAAATTTTAAAGGATAGTTGTACGCCTAACAGTTACGGAGGAAATTCCATGAAGCTGTAAATTTTGAATTCTTATAATATTCTATAATATTCTTATAATATTATAATTCTACATGGAATAAGTTAACTGTCATGGTTTACCGTTGTTTATAGATATATTCTAAACAAATTTTGCAAATTTACTTATTTTAACCTAAGCTATTAACATTTCACTAAAAAAAACACACCTTACTACCTTCCCTGTAGCAGCAAACCTAAGTAGCCATACTTAACCTTGAATGCTATTTAAATAGGGAATGAATTTAAAAATATTTAAGTAAAAAATCAATAAGGGAAATGGAAATTCCCTTAGTCGACAGGTTGGCTGCGACAGGGGTATTTTTTATTCATATAGGTTGCTCTATAGAGAGTTATCCTATTAAATTTCAGTACACTAAATCAAAACAGTGAGTGTATTTACAACTTAGCATTTCCTTAATATTTTCTTTTTTTAATTTTACCAGAATAAAATTTGGTCTTGGTGGTTGTTCACAAGTTAAACGTTGGCTGCAGATATGAAACAATAAAGCACTTATATTGTTTGATGGGTTTTAAAGGCTATTTATCGCCAGTCTGCACCACTGGTGGAATGTGCCTCTGATGTGGCTCTGGCTTTGTAACAACTATCCAATATTGCAGCTGTTGTGGCCACCATTAACTTTGAAATTATTGCTTTCTCAGAGGCTAACACGGCCTGCGTATTTGCTATTCCTCACCTTCTAAATCGCTCTTTGTTTACTTTGAAACCTTCTACAGTATTTAAAATCTCAAATTATTAAAATAAATTACAATTTCTTGTGACTTACTATTCTAGAGAAACAAAGTGCTAATTTAATTTAAAAAAGCTCTCTTCTCTTTTTTGTACTTTGCAAACCAATCTAAGCCTTGACTTTGCTCTATGTTGGATTAGGTCTAAATCTAAATGGATACTTTCAAATTCAAAATGGAAGCTATTTAAACTGTAAAGATGAGGATCCAAGTAAGTTTATTTTATAAATACTTGTATTATATTATGTATTATATGACATAAAGATAGGTGTTACATGGGTGTGTAGTTATTTAACTTTGTTACTTTCTTTCTATAGATACAAGACCATTAAATTTAACACTTAAAAATCAAAATCAGCTAAGGTCAGTTTTAAACCATGAAAAACTAATGACTTTATATGATCAAATATATTAAAAACCTTCACAATTATCAGGTTCATGATCAATCAATTCCAAAGCAGCTTAGCTACTCAGCCATTTGAGGAAATTATATAAAACGAGAAAAAAATGTTTTCTTCAATGAACTGTACGAAATAGTATATTTCGTACCTAGGGCCGAAAATGAGGTTTTGCCAGCTTGAGATAGTTTTTAGTTTTTAAGTTCGAGACGAAGTCGAGAACTTAAAACGATCGAGAGCTGCAAAACCATTTTTGGTCCGTGGTACGAACACTATTTTTCACCACACTACTACTATTCACAATAATAATTAATGCACACTGATAGTCCAACGCAACTTTAAGGTTAAGTGAAGAAGTAATTTCAGAAATCAGCAAAAATAATAATAAACAGTTGCTAGGCAACGGGAAAATAAAACAATTCTATTGCAATGCTATGGATACTGTTTGTGTATTTAATATGCAAGCGGGCAGCTGATTTTGCGGCCCTAGGGATGTAAAAACCTGCTCGGTCCCCAAATGACGATGACAGCCATGCCAGCCAAACGTAACTTTCAGCCTCTAATTAACGTATGTAAAACAGCTAATAACAGCATAGTGTGGTGAAAAACTATTATATAGCCTATTATATGTTTGAACATTGTAACAAGGCAGTTTAACCATACTCACAGCTCAGTTGTGTACATAGGTATGTCTTTGGGTATCTCTTTCAGACTTCGACCAGAACAGTCAACAATAGTACCATCACAGGAGCAACCACTCGGACATACGCTATCAATGAGACAGTCACCAGCAAACCTGGTACGGAACTCTTCAACACCTAGGACAGACAACATATATCAGAGGAAAAAATAATCTCTGGTGTATCCAACCAATCCATGTACAGTACTCACATTCCTTGTGTACCCCATCACAGCTACAAATCAGTTCAGTAGAAAGCTTTACAAAGACTTCGATATTTTTGCGGCTTTGCAAGATAATCAATTTTATTACTCTGAGTAGCATCTTTAAACAAATCTCTTTAGCTGTAACACTTTTATGTTTAATGGGGTTTGAGTGATCTTTTGTAAATAATGATAGTTAAAATTCAGCTTCTAAAGAACAAAATACAAAGTTTATATTTAGATCTCATTTTGCTAAGATGACACATAACAATATATCTCATCACTAGGCCACAAAGTGGCTCTTTTTGACCCAAACTCAACTTTTACAACGAAGGGAAAACTGAGGTTACAACCTACAACCGACTAAATCGATGATAAAAAATTTTGATACATGCAATTAATTGCTTACATCAAAGTTTACAACTGAGTTTACAATAGCTAAGTTTTACTCCCTAGGGAGTTAAAGAGATACCTCAGACCAGCAACATGTGAATTAAATACCCCCGCCACAGCAAATCTTCAGTCTAAGTAAATTTCAATTTGCCTGGTTGGATTTTAATAAAAAATTCATAAAAAAGAATATTTACTCCGCATAGTAATAAAATTAGATTTAATGAGTCCTACCTAGGTTGGCTGTTACGGGGAAGGTAAAAAGTGTATTTTTTTACCAAATATTAATTAATAGTATAGGATCAACATTGAGGTTTTGGAATTATTGATATAATTACACCGATTATTTATAGACGACCAGTCAAGGTACTTAAGCCTAGTAAAATTTAACGTGTGTTGTACCCTTAGATTTTAAGACTTTATAATGTATGCAATGAAATGTAATTAATTGTGAGATAGAGCGTCATGTAATTCATAGATGTTATTCTGTTAAGACCAGGTGTTTCAATACTCGGGGCCATTTCTTAAACCCCGACCCTTCACCATTTGGAAGGTCCTTCATGATCAAGAAAATCTCTCTTGTTTGAAAAACAAAAGCTATGCAATTTTTCAGTTATTTAAAACCACTCATATATCCAACTACTTGTACACCACTTTACACTATTTTGACGAACTTCCCACACAAGGATTTAGTCCAGAAAACAGTTGTACATCCATAAGCAAATTTATCCCGCCCAACATCTAAAAATTTGAATGAGTGGTGTTTTTGACCTCTGGGGACATCAAAATGAAAAAAGTTAATCAGTCCCGTGCCCAGGTCTTACCGTGCCACTACTACGGGAATAGCCTCTTCCCTAAAGGTTGGTTTTGCTGCAGTATGACGAAAAAAATAGAACTTGCTTTGTCTATTATCATTTCAAAGGGCCTACCGGGAAAATATATAAATTCAAGTCTGAAATCTTTATCAAGCTAATAGCAACCAGCAACTTGGCATATCAGAAAGAGGCATAATCTTTTCAGATAAATATTGCTAGTAAATTATTAGTTATTATAATTTAAATTAGTTATTTTTAATCAATCAAATCAGTGCAATGCAAATAATTAATTAGCAGTAAATTGCATTAGTTACTACCGCCAGTAGCAATGTATGCGCAGGCGCGGCGGCAATATAAACGTAGCATCACTATCACGTCAGCTACAATGAAGGCGCGCACTTCGTTCCCCGTCTTTGCTGGTTAGGGTTGTGTTGTTTCTGGTCTTCTCTATCATTAGTTAGTTTGTATTGTTCCAATCATTTGAGTTTCATACTTATTGGAAGCGAAAACTGACCTAATAGTCTATCAGTTTTTTTATGTTTGTCTATTGACCCTTTTTAATTGCATTCCCAGCACAAATAACACATAAGTAACACTTGCTATGTGTTATTTACATATGAAACATTTCAATATGTTATGTAACTGTGACTGTTATGTAAAGCAGTTTACACAATTTTTTATGGAAAAAAACTAAGTCATTATTATTTGGAATGGTTAAGATAATGCTTTCCTAGTTTTCTTTTGTACACTAGAAACACCAAAAATAGAAGGTGCATTTCCATTACACCTTCGACAACCTTACTTTTCATATTTGCTTACTTTTCTTAGCATGTGCACATCAACTGGTAACTATTACTGGGGGAAAATCAAATATGAATGGAATTTACACAGAGATTTTCATCTGTTTAAGCTTAATTAATTTACAGGGAACCAGTGCTAAAATAAGATAACTGAATTTACATTAATTTTAAAATTACTTGTGTATTTGAACGTATTGTAATAATAAGCTAGAACTGAGACAACTTGTACAACAAATTACTATTTTGTTATAATAACAAGTAAATATGTTTATGACAACTACTATACTAAAAGCAATTACAGGTTCAACAGTTAAATAGGCAACTCTAAAAATCACATTTATTCATAACGTAATTTTAAAAGGACATCTTAATTTAACAGTAAATTGAATAATCATTTCAACTCTTCACTTTTATTTTGTGTGTACAGCAATGAAGTTAAGAGCTATGGAGTTATGTAATGCATCTTGTTTTCATTTTTTGAGTTTCAAAATTCGCTATAATAAAAATACAATGCATAAGAAAATATTAATGGTAGCTCTTGTTTGATTTTATTTTGAATAGAATACACTTAAAATGAAGCTTAATAAATATTTCTAGATAATTTCTTTCAACCAAAAAGGAACTTTTTCTGACATTTTCAGATATAATATTGGATTATTTGTTAATGAACATTGATATTCATTTCAATACCATATCTACAAAAATGAGCTTGGTTTTGATTAAAGACAACTTTTTAATAGTTGTAAAACGTTATTATAACAATTTTACTACTAATATAATTAGATATGGTATCCTAAGTGTATCAAACAAAATACAAAACCAGACACCCCAAGCATAACGGTAAACACAGTAGGATTGATTTTGGTTTTGGTTGGCTAAAGGTTGGTTGAGGGGTAGGTAGGGGTAGGAATCTTTCTTATCAGGTGTTAAACTGAGTTTCATGACAGCAAATCAAAGCAAAAAATAAGCAAAGCACAATATACAAAATCAGTATAATACAACTATATATGTCTTCATTACATGTTCTATACTGAAGCCCTATGTTTAGGAGATCAATTTTGGATCTCGTTGTATAATCAAGTCTTCTAAATTAAATTTTGTAAGTTAAACAAGATAGATATGGAAATTTAATATAATGTTTAATATTTCTAAAGGCTTTTTCTTGGAATAAATATCTTTTACCCGTCCCAACCCATATTTTTTAGGTTTTTTTATCTAGATCTCTTACAATGGCACAAAATGTTTTATGTTTTAAAAGGTCAAAGCACTTAAACCTTTCTACTAGAAGTAAATAGTACATTTGTTTACTGCATGTCATACTTTGTGTGCATAAAAACATTTCTAAGTTTAACAACCCAATAGCTACAAATACTAATTAGGACGCAAAGATATATCAGCTACTAGTAAAGCTTTTTTTTGGTTAGAATTACTTCATTCGAAATGAAATTAGCAAGTAATGATATATTAAACTAAAACCTTGCAAAATACAAATAATGTTCTATTGTAGTTGTATATAGTGATTTTAACATTTAAATACTAAAATTATTATTCTATGAAAATAACTAGCATTAATCATTTTATTAATTTTGGGTTTTACATAAGCAAAACATAAAACCTTAGTTAGTTCTTGACAGCATTAAAAATTATTTGTCTGGCGACTGGTTTTTGGAACATTTCTAAGTAGTAAACAAGTGACAAAGTTGAGAACGAACGAGAAAAAGAAGAATGAATTCAGGCTGACAACTTAGTTGATAATGTTTGGAGCATATGTTGTTGAATCCTAAACAAAGTGGAATCTGCCACCCCCCCCCCCAACACGTACACCCCTCCAAACAAACAACAGATGCCTGGGAAAGTCTGCTGTCCTTTTGTGAATATTAAATGTGTGACTTTTAAAGGAAAAATCCAGAGAGGGGATACTCGAGATTTAAGACTTGGAATAAAAAAACTATTCAAATGACTAGCAGTTGAGTTTTGTTTTGTTTGGTGAAATATTATTATTAACAATTTTATTAGGGTAATTATTCTAACTACAAACATATAAAATACATTACGGTAGTTAGGTTTTTTCTGTGTTAAAAGCAAAGGGGTGAGTTTCATCAGCTGTAACAGACGAAAGTTGAATCTTTAGCACAGCTAATAAAAAAAAAAAAAAAAACATGACAAATGGTTTTAAACACTGTGTTTTATATATCTTTTGTTTATACCTAACATTAATTACTATATGTTTTATTTATTTTTTGGAAGTTACAAAAGTGTTTTACGCCTTAGATAAGTTTGTAAGTTAACATAAGTTTTTGAAAACAACCTGCAGCTTGTAGTAGGTTTCTAGTTTTTTGCCATTATCTGTTATTACCATGTACCGTGATTAAAGAATTAATTTAGTAGATTTTCTATCTATAAAACTATTTTCTGATAAATTAATACAGAACGAATAGATTACGTTAAAGAATGTGTGTAAAGATGAGAAAATTAATATAAACACAAAAACAACACGAAGAACTATAATGTTATTAATGTAATTTAACAACTCAAAACTATATATTTATTTTTCAACGATAATTTATAAGGAAAACGAACATTAGGAAATGTTTGTAGAAAATGCTAGTAAAAATGGAAAATAATGTTGTAAATCATTAACCACAAACCAGAAAAGTGAGATGAATGAAACTGCTGAAGGAATGTTAGACGTAGTACACAGGTGAGGTTAGGTTAGGTTAGGACATTGGTGGACAGCACCGTTAAATGCAAGGGGAGATCTGGCTTCGCTTACCCTTACATTTGAACTTCTCGTCACGAAGAGCCTCGATGCGACGTCGCTGCATTCTCTTGGGCGTCTCGCAGCGAGCACCGGACGTCTCTATGGGGTTGCGGTGGAGGTACTCTGCGAGCCAGCGGAGGTTACAGTCACAGATGAAGGGGTTACGACCGAGGTGTCTGTGACAAACATCACCACGTCAAACTATACTGTAATCTAGCATGGTATGAATAGGATGTAGTAGGTGCAGCATAGCATTCAGTCCCCTGTAGTTATTTAAAGATTTATCTAGAAAAAATAGTGTTTTTTTGCAAACTTTCCAAAACATTGCTGAAAATTTCGATTAAAAATTACTCCACATTTATGTTTTAAAATCAGGCCTTGATCTTAATTTACAATAGGTTTTACAAAATGTGATGCGTCAATTGCATCATTTGCATTAGTTATCGCCAGTAGCAACTTATGCGCAGGCGCGGCGGCAATATGAATGTAGCAACACTATCACGTCAGCTACAATGAAGGCGCGCACTTCGTTCCCCGTCTTTGCTGGTTAGGGTTGTGTTGTTTCTGGTCTCCACTAGGTTGGCAGATGAGTTAGTTAGTCCCCTCATTAGTTAGTTTTATATTATCAGATGAGCTATGGGTGGGGTTAACCTGCCCCCCCCCCCCATGTCAGGAACAGACAGTCACTGGGCTGACAGCGCTACGGGACACATGGTCACGATCCATGTACTGGAGAGTTATACTGTATATTTCATTTGTTAGGGTATTGTATCTTCTGTAGATTCTATTTTGATTTGGACATAGAATGGTGCAAACTACATTCCAAACGTTGAAGGTTGCTGTCATTTGTCCATTACCTACCTATCAATTAATGATACTATCAATAATAAAAGGTCAGCGTTATCATAAACGCCGATAACTTTATAATGCACCAAATTAACATCCATTTACGTACTTTATTGTTTCAACACCACATAATTTCGTTTACTAATGTATCGTTGCAAATAGAGTCTAGTGTCTGCAATCCGGAAATATAAACTTGTTCTACCCTTTAAACAAAAATTAATAGCTAAACGTAACGAGACGTAAATAAATAACCAAACAAATCTTTTAAAGTTGAAGTCACTTTTAAAGTACCTGATCTAATAGTTATCAAACTGTAATTTATAGTGCTAGTACGGCCATAAAGCTATCGTAATTCAATAAGATAGCTGTTGTATTCAGGGCTTAGGACAAAGTGAAGTAGCGTCTGATCGCTTTATGCAAAGCTGGGTATCAAAGATATTCATAAAAGAATATTGCAAGATGCTAAAGCTGCTGTCGATAGTGAATAGCTTGTCAAAATACTCCTCTGTGTGCGAAATAAGGAAGACGAACATTTTATTCAAACAAAACAAGATTATAATACTTTCAATCGAATTTTTATCCAGCTGACACCATTTACTAAACTGTTTTATCTTCTAAATACCCAGTTTAACTACATTAGAGTGTCTGTATCACCAGTAACAGTAGTGTAAACTCGATCACCGTTGGGGCAGGAGGAATAGCGACCACTATTGCAGCGGTCTAGACAGAATTAATGACCAATGTAGACCTGCTGGGACTCTTCATAAACGTGATGGCGTCGTCAAGGGTGGCAAATAAACACGTAAGTGGCTGTAGAGCTATGGAGCACTACGAGCTTACGTGAATACTGTTCTTTGTACATTTGCAATTGTAATAAGGCAGATTATTAATAAGGTTCTCATCATCGCTGTTATAAGGTATATATGCCTGCACTGAGTCCAACGACCAATTGTTACCTGCATATAACTCTCATTCTACTTGTTCCCAATTATATATACTACTCATTTTAACTGTGGGTAACAGTCTAAATGATACTTACAGTGTTTGGATACTCCGCATGGTATCGAAGGTCCCATTGGCCAAGGACTGAATGTTGTTGTCGTATAGAGATCTGAAAACATTAAATAAATAAATAGTAAATTAGTTACAGTATTCATAAAATGTAATTGTTAACATATTTTCTTCTGTTTAGGTTCAACATGTTTAAGGGTAAGTATTTGGTGAGTTGGGGGTCCAGAATAGACTATGAATTAATGACAGAAATGTATCGTGGGTTCACGCCCTAGTGTTCACCAATAAACTATTGTTATCAGTATACCGCATTTCACTTTTTTAGTATATTAGCTCACCTGTTGTTTTTTTATACAGTCCACGTAGATACCCAAAGCTTTAATATGTGGACGAGCAAACTTGGGTTAAAAGGGCCACCTAACTTCCTTAAAAAAGTGGGGTAAAAAGAAAAGGTGTCACTGATATTAATGGTTATTCCTCAGTTTACCTGTGTGCATTTGTTTTTGTATGCCCTGCGTATACTGTACTATGTTATATTTATTTCATTAAAATCCACATAAACATATCTCCTTATCGGTTTGCAAGTTTGTGAAGTTAATAAATATTTCCAACTTTGAACTCTACTTTATGACTAAATAACTTTACCTCCCACTCGCACGGAGGTGACAACATAATTTGTAATCACACACAAGTCGGAGTCGTATACCATATCAGCTGACGATAAGCCGTACTTAAACTGCGAAGTCAATAACCTCTGAGATTGCACCATTCCCGCTCCGCTGGGTTCAAAGTCGCTGCTGAATTTATAGTCAATACTGTCGGAAGTATACAGCTACATAAACGTTACTGTGAGCAGCATAAATACGCTAGCGCATTAATCATCTCGGCCTTTGAACTTTCTTGCTTCAGAACGAGTATTAGTTGCGCGGCGTTTTCTTTGGTGCTTACTATTATTTTTATGTTTTATTTTGAATTTTGCTGTGGCTTCTATTTATAACTTGTTTAATATTTTATGTCTAAGTTACAATTGACAAATATATTTGAAATTCTATTGGTTCAACAAGTGTAAACTTACATAAACAATTTCAAAATACCATGAAGATGTCAAGACAACTGTTCTGCATCTCATTATATCAAATATGTTACTATATTTATCTCGCTGTTGCGTAGGAAGAGTTTGGCAAAGATGCAGAGAGGTTTGTGAGAGAGGTTGTTATCAGTTATCTCCGGACTGATAAGAGTATCTCCGGGCGGTATCGACTTGTAGGAAGGGTTGTCAAGCCAAATACTCGAGGCAACTTTTCCCACGACACTCTTATTGTATTAGCAGAGACAACTTCCGACTGACAACTTTCAGAGGCACTGCATGTTATCTATGAGTAAACATTATTTTTAATGGCATGCACATTATGTAGCTAAATCCTTTCAAAAGATAACGTTGGCTAGGTTAAGATAATGTTAAGTTTTACTTATAAAGTTTTTTTTACTTTGAATATATATTAATAAATGAAAGAGTTTAACATGGTAAACAATTGAAATTCGCGAAAAATAGGTCTTTATATATAATGTTTGTAAGTTAACCGTAGTAGCATTTCTTCATTAATTTTGTTATTTTATGACTGAATTTGAAATTCTAAAATAAATTAGAAAATATCCTAGAGACGTAACCAATAGGTTTCATAAATGTCAAGGTTGTAAAAATATAAACATTAGACTTCCAAGAGGGTTGTAGTAAAAGCAAAAAATTTTAAACCAACGTGTATCGACACTGTGTTTAATGTTGACTATTGTTAGAAAAACACATTATATTCACATGCTTTAATTTAGCCACTTTTAGAAAGTAAATAACATACAGTACTGTAGTTGGGTTGTGCTACTGAGTGCGTAAACTAATAACAATTGCTGATTTCTGTTGAATACACAGAAGAAAAACTTATTGTAAACTATCACATATTTTTTTTAGTTTTACAAAATAGTTGGCTATTCTCAACAGTGGTGTAGAACTGTTGAACTCTACAATTTAGTTCTATCAAGTGCGTTTTATTCAAGTAAAAGTCGCTCTCGTGGACATTATAATGCCCATCCACTTCTGAATCGAAATGAAATGGTTTCATACACTTCAATGATTACAAGGTTATGCCTATGGTTTCATTCAAATTCGGAAATAAGCTACATGGACACCGTTTGGAACTCAGCATCTACGCTAGATACCGAATTATAATGCAGCATACGTTTAAGTTCCTAAAATGTCCGTAAGAAAAAAAATCAAATTTTTTCTTGATGAGATCTGGTTCTCAACTTGTAATTACTTTCTAGATTAATTGTTTAGGATTCAACTGCTATATTAACAGCAAACTTGGCGGTCACAGATGCGTTTACAGCGTATGCAATACAGACTATAATAGACAGTTTGATATTGCCGACGCGTCCGTGATGGCAGGAGGTTTCGCACTACGAACTCAAATGACTTGACAAATACTACGTAATAAATTTGGAGACTTTAAAAGTTAAACTTTTCTAGGTATTTATTCCTTATTTATGGAAATACATAATATGTCATTTGCAACGCTTGTTCAACCAAACAAAACTAATCATCCACATTGATCAAGAATTTTAACGACGTGAGTAGTAAGTTAACAGTAATATGACATCGTATTGCATGTGCCCACATTTTTTAATTTACCCGTGACCCCGCTTTTCCTCCATTAAAACACGTTTCTCCCCCTCTTTGTGACCGAGTCATTATTTGATTCGCAGCAAATTTGTCTATTTAAAAGTTTTCCACATTCAAGATGAGGGAAAATGCTTCACCCTCTTTTTAATTTCCGCTGCTCTCTCTCTCATTTTTACATCCTCAACTCTTGCGATCTACCTTCCGCCCCCCCTTCCCCTCCCACGGCTACTACCTACACTCTTCACCCTACAGCAAGGTGCATCGGAGATAACATCTGTAAATGTCACTGAATTTAAGCCCATCAATGAAATAAACAGGCAAAACTAAACCACATAACACTTTACCTAAGGAAACAGTAAAGGATGACCTATTGTGAATATGTCAGTAAGAGTTATGAAAGTTTTGTTTTAATTAAATTTATTAATGCTGGTAGTTTTAACAACTGACTAATCAAACGATTTGATTTGATTTGATTTTATTTTATCATTCAATCAACTATTCATACACTTAAATTCTTTATACTTTGTGTGATTTGTTTTATATGTTTTTATAAATTACATTTAAACTACTTTTTTAAAGCTTAGGGAGTGGATTTTTATTCCTTTGGTGTCGAGTGGTATTGATGGTGGTAAGGATGTAGCTCATGTATAAATTAGAAGATGTTTCTCTCAATATACAATACCTAATTAAAATTCTTTTAAAAAGAAATTAATACGTTCGTTACTGAAAAAATATTATACCTACAATAGCACTAATTGTTCATTGGTTTAGAATGTCAAGGGTACAGTATATGCAAATGCAGATAAAACGCCGCATTGCTCTTTCATATAAAATTACGAGTTTATAATTCAAACTTCCAACCACATTATGTCGGTTAAAAATAATTAGAGTAGCAAAATACGTAGTACGAAACACACGAAACACTTTGATGATGAGGAACAACGCACCTAATTGTACCCTCAGGGACAGAAATACGAGAAAACTCGCGTTAATTTCAAATTTACGGTTAACTTCTTTATTAGATTCTTCGCAGCACATTTGTACCTCTAATTGGCAGCTCTTGAAAGGCGATTAAAATATGACACACGCCAATTATGTATGTAACGGAGTAACAAGTTCACAACCGAGACACAATGTATTAATTGGTTTACGAAACTCGCAGCTTCCACACATAAAACTGTTTAGTCCTATCTTTAGTTTTATTCCGAGTTGTAGTTTGTTTTTGTAGCTGCAGTTAAGCTGTAGCTGTAGTTTTTGTAGCTTTAGTATTGCTGTAGGTGTAGTTTAATTGTGGCTGCTGTATTGTTGTAACTGTAGTGTTGTTGTTTCTGTAGTTTGGGTTTTAGCTGTAGTCTTACTGGCGTGATGTCACACACAGTCGAGCCGAGGATAATCTACCTCAGCTCATTTCCATGATGGGTTGAGAGGTATTTCAATAATACGCGACTCCTTGAGTTCTACTTTACTACATACGTAGCTATAATGGGTATTTTTTATTTTTATTTTGGTAAAAGTGAAAATTACCATGACTATGATTTTTATTAGTGGAATTAATCTTAGGAAGTTGCGTATATGGAGTATGAATAAGTTTATTTTATCAAGGTATCATCCTTATAAAAGTGTAAATGAATTTTAATGTGTTTTGTAAAATAATGACTAAGATCAATTAATTAGTTTTACATCTAAACCTGATGTAAATTAGTTGCAAAAATATTGCCAAGACGACAGGTCAGGGTTTTCTTTGATGTCCAAACCTGTTACCTTCCTAGCTAGTACGCAACCTCCCCCCCCCCTCACGGCAATGTAGTACGCAGTTACTCCCCCCCCCACGCCTCTGGTGTACGTAGGTGTTCCTTAATTACGAACATCGCGTAACTCCTGACAAACCCGCCCCACTCACCAGTCTCGCCGTTCACGCTACGTACTTCATTCCTTTTATCATCCTCCGTTCTTAATTGCTGTCACCGAACGTATAATTAATAGAAGGATAAATATTAAGGCACTCGACGAGTTCCAGTTAATTTGTGTTGCAAATAAATATATGTATCCTTTAATTAGGATTTTACTCTTCCCACTCATACTTGGTCGCTAACTGATTCATTTACTTGACACGAGTCTTGTTAACAACTCTAGAGTTATTTATTGTACGTAATTAACTAAGCTGTAAACGTTTTTATAGACATTAGAAAATACAAGTAACGAAATTATTATTTATTTTAATTTACATACAAGTTTGAAAGGAGGATGTAAACCATTAAAAAGTGTTCCTTTTTTATCGTGTACAGAAAAATATCATCTTATATCGTATTTCAAACATAAACCTGTTTCACACAGCAACGAAACATCTAAATAAATTCGTTATTCTGTTTATAACGGTTTCAATTCGTGTGATCTCTTAGATTGTGAAACCATTTATTCCTCCCCGA